TTAGAAATAGCAGGGATAAGTCTGAAAACCGTCGCTTCCGATTCTCTGTATGCAGTGTGTAGTGTCTAAGCTAAAATTCTTGGATTTAATGAGTGTGAAAAATACTCCTGTAACTGTGTAGGCTGAAAGAAATTTTACAACGATAAGAGACTACTTCTTTTGTTCATTTGTTCTCAAGGGAAAATCCTTGCTTCCGTATTTCACACAATTCCTGGATTAAAGCGTGAAAAATACCCCTGTGACGGTGTCGGCTGAAAGAAATTTTACAACAATAAGAGACTATTTCCTTTGTTTAGTTGTTCTCAAGGGACACCCCTATTCACGTCAGTTGGTTACGAATAGTTTATAAACGAACATCGGTCGGCTTCAAGTAATCTAACTTGGTTAACAAGCTAAGCGGACTGCACTTGAAGTTGTTCAGGTTGTATTTGCCAGTATATTCGATTTACACTTAGAAATAATCTTCATTATTTTTTTTCGTTTCTATACAGTCTGCCAGACTTGACTATGAGCCACCAGTGAGGTTTTGGTCGGCAGAATTTATAGTGATTTCCGTGGCAAAGGAGACCAGGCACGCCAAGTAGCTAGAATCGTGGAACGAGTAAATTTTCAGCGCTCTTAGTGACTTTCGTGTGCGAGCCGAAGCCCTTGACAAACCACATTGACGTCACTGCTCTTTTTAATTTTGGCGGGTTAAAGAGACCTTTGTCAAACACATTCTGAGGAAAAAAAGCGAACGTTTTTGCAGCCGGTGACCGTTTTAGTATGGACGGAGAATATATATATATATATATATGCCGTTTTCAATATGACCGGAAAACGCTTTGTATTTCTACGGCGTAATGTACAAGATGTTTCATCACGTGCGAAATGGGTTACGGAACTGTAGTCATGTGGCTCTCCAGGGACTTTGAGCTCCACTGGGATCTGAAAGAACGGTGTGGCGATCATAGTGCCACGGGTCAGGAAAGTGAAGATGGCTTATTCCTCTCCCCTAACTTCGTTCGTCTAAACGATCCCTCAAGTTCTCTAATGTGTACAGAATCCCACTTTAACGGTAGGAAAAGTTTCATGTGGAACTATTTTGCAAATGGCAACCCTTGTGATTTGACCTAATCCGGTCCAACAGGTGTGACGTAATTTGTAAACAAACGCTTCGTGATACTTGCCCAAACGTAACGATCGATCTTTCACTTTTAGAAAGCGACCAAATGGTAAAAGCAGCCTCTCGCGATCCTGAATCACACTACTGCAGGCAGTTCCCTCAAATAGCATGGCGATTTCAGACTACTTGAAGGGATTTCGTGAACCCATGTGGACAACAATTGAGGTTGATAAATTCTGGCGAGTTTTGCATCCATACCTGGATCAATTACTAAACGGCGCAATGCCTCTACCAGATTCCGACATTGATTTTACGTCCCTGGACCCGGGAAACGAAAAGCACAAGCAACACTGTATCCAAATCGATGTGGAAAGGAAAATACTCTCTCTCAGTTGCTAATATAAAAGCAATCAAAACTTTCTTTCAAGACAGCGCCGTACGTGCCAACAATAGCCACATTAGTGTTTCTGATCTACTACGCGAATTGAAGAAAGCATTTGAATACAGACCCATGACTTACAGGTAAGCTTCTCGTACTAGTAAGTGAGTTGACTGTAAATTCTGCGTATCAGCGACTAAAATCAACACTTCTGTCATTTCGTGCGAAAATCTTTGTTTTGAAAGAGCGTTACTAATTGACATGACAAACGTGATAACTAGACGATTTTTTTTGTTGAGAGATTTGTTCACCATTGGCTCTGATAACATATCTGGTAGGCCGAAATTACGTAAACAGAAGTTATTAGCAGGCAGGAAATGAGTCGTGCTAAGGTGAAAGTAACTCCAAAAGTTAGCATATCTTAATAACCTAAGCTGATAAAATTATTCTGGAAGAAATATTGGCTGATGAGACAGTTAGGGTAACGACAATTGCTATCGTGTGGATTATTTGCAATTTTCTCACAACAAAGATTCTAGTTTCACGATACGACAATAGAGCCGCGCATGAAATTCAGGAATATAGGTAACTTTTCCTTCTTTCCAACGACGTTGGACGTTAGCGTTCTTATTTGCACAAAAACGTGAAAACGATGAAAGGCTTTCAATCGCTTCCCTTGCAAGGTAGTGCTGCGGTTATTTTAACCTTTCTACACCGATTTAAAATTAATTTCCCTTCAATCATTAAACGATCTTTTACTTTCCCAGTAAATCTGCACCATTTTCGCCTCGCTTTATCAGCCATTTATCCTCGTTTATGTAAACTCACGTTTCACTACTTTTCTCCCATTTAGTGTCGATGGTACTCACAAGTACGTCGCGTGACGATTTGCCCTCACAGGAGTTTCACGCCATAAGTTATTTTTTTAAGAACGACAACAAAGAATGTTTATAGCCTAAAGTGAATGTAAATAATTCAACACAATTTGTCTCAGCCTTCCCAAATTATTGCAGAAACGAAAAACGTGACATTGATAAGTTGCCTTCTAATCAGACGCAGCCAGAGGGTATGAAGATTCGAGAATTAGTTGTCTTAAATTTTTCGATCAGATAAGCGGTATTGTCGTATCACAATAAGGGTGTTAATTATCTCCTCCTTCATTAATTTCCGGTCTATGTTTTAGAGACACAAGTGGACAAAACAAAAAAAGGGACAAAACAAAACAAAACAAAAAAACTTACTCCTTCCCAAGCCATGCCCGAATAATAAATAGATTTAAATGCTCTCGCCGGATATTCAAATTAATGAAGTGACCCGGAATAGACAATGGCTGGTTTAATGCATTGTTTATGATAATTCGCTCTGACGAAGGGCTAACGCTCGAAACGTCAGCTTTGAAATTGTTATGAATTAGTGCTTTTCCTTTTTTTGTACAAATGTAATGAAGACACAATTTTAGTCGATGTAGTAAATTACCAAAGTAATGGATCGTTATACTAATTTTAGTTTATCATTGGAAAAAAAAAGAAATGTAAAATATTCGAACTGACGCAATAATTTGGAAAAGACGGTTTTTAAAATTGGATTAAAAAATATATTTAAATTGTTAAATTGTTTATGTTTTTACTTTTGCGACTTGTCTCGAGTGAGATCAAAACATGGTTTAATTCAACACTGTGTTAAAAAGTTCAGCTTGAGACAGGAACCATTGCAGACTGTTCCAAAGGTAATCCTCTCCCATTTACACACTCACGGAAAATCGTGAAACTAAGTGAATGCATCTGCTACATGTCTCAAATCTTCCCGCCCAGTCGTCCTCTCTTGGTAAACAAAGTGCATGAGTGAACCTGGTTAATTGTTTAGACAAAAACAGTGGTTATAGCGTGTAGATGACAATGTTTCAAGAGTGATGTTTGAGTCAGGTTAGCCCATGGGCATTTCGGCGCTCTCTTTTGGTGCGAATCTTTACTAGTGCGAAATGATAACTGCAAGCGCTGCAGGCTAACAGATGATAAAAGTTTTTGGTCCATCCATATTAATATCCCTAAAGTAAGTCGACACGGCATCGTGACACTCGGAAGTCACGGTCGGCGGCTCTCGTGAAGCCGAACTCTTCCGAACTAGTGCAAACGTGATCTTTGACTGTTTTGACTTCAGGGGAAGAGATGTTATTTCCCAAATTGCAAAGTTAAATAACGGAGAAATAATAATTTTATTATACACAGCGAAAGAGGCGAAATAATTTGCTTGGACAACAATTCTTGTTGCGTGAACTGAAACCAAATCAACAAAGTCCGGGTGACACGCGAGAAATTCTGTTCACCTTATCTTTCTATCCGAGGATCAGCATATTTTACCGCGAACAAAAGCGTAGAATTATGACCAATCACAAGAGAGAATTCTTTACTATAGAGTAAACAAATAATTCATTTGGAAAACACTGCAGGTCCGACAGCCTAAAACGATAAGCTCGCTGTAAAAACCGGAAAATATTGCAATTTTGTAACTTTTAGATCTGCAATCTCGTATTAACCAAACGAAGAAAAAATGGCGATTTATGATTGTCTCAAACGACAGCAAGATCCAATTTGGACTCACTGCGAGGTGGAAAAATTCTGGGATGTTTTGCGGCCGTACCTAGCTCATCTCCTTACCGGTGAAATGCCACTTCCAGATTACAGCATCGACTTCACATCTCTGAGCTCAAATAGCGAAAGAGACAAGCAATTCTGCATGGACGTAGTGCACGGCTCTTTATGGAGAGGAAAGTACTCGCTTGCAGTAGCAAATTTGAAAGCCTTGGAGGCCTTCTTTGATTGCAGAAACAAAAGCTGCGATTGTAACATTGCAGATCAGCTGCGTTTGCTGGAAGACGTTTTCAAACGCAGGCCTTTGGAAAGGTACTTTTAAAAAAAATCATTGCTATTAACGCGTTTATAAACAGCTACTATTTTGCATGAGATCAGAAATAAGTACGCTGAGTGAAAATAAGAACATCTAGCTATAAATGATTTATTAGGATCAAGCAATCTTTTAGTTTTACCTTTCTAAAAGAAATGCGTATTGCTTAATAAATTATTCATCATTTTACTTCTAACTCCTTTGCATGTAAACACTTCAGACAACGACAGAGAAAAATAAATAGACATTAGGGGAAAAAAAGAGAGAGAATTTTAAATCAAAAACCGTCGCTGAAATTCGTCTGTTTGTGTGGTCCGTTATTTTACAAAGGTTTTCTAAAATGGGGAAAAATGTAATTTATTTGTATTATGTGAGCAAGGTTCCCTGGCTAAATTAAATTTACAAATAAAAAAATTACTCAAACTTTATGAGATTTTGCTTTTTATACATTTGTCATAAATACTCTGTCTTGCAGGCGTCATGTCTTGCCGCAATATCCAATGTACTTGACGAACTCCATATCACTTTCCAGTTGTAAGATGTCTGTTGCACAGTTACGTAATCAAAATATCCCTGTTTTACACTGGCAAGAGTTATTCACGTCTCGGCACCGGTTGTAAACATGTCATCTCATCACCGTAACGTAACGTACCATAACACTACGTAACGCAGGATAACATATCTGGATCAAAATTAATTTACACCAGTGGAAAGGAAAACAGATCTTCAGGTTAAGCTCTTGCTTAGCAAGAGTTGGTGGAAATGAGCTTTATCTGTCATCTTTTTACCTGAATTTTAGATGTGCGTTAATTAAAATTTTAGACTGTCTGACGCGACAAAATGGTCTGATAGCTTCCCATATGTAAATTACAAAAAGCATGGCGCACAATATTTTCAATTTTACTGTAAATATACGATGTAATGAGATCAGTATTGTTAAAAAATTGTATTACAGCGGCCGAAACATGAAAACAAACGCTTTTGCAAGCATTGATTCAGCAGTGAAGTGGTGAAAGATTTCTAAATATAGTAGTTATGTATATATATTCGCTGATGTAATAGTTGAGAGACCGCTATATGCATAGCTAAGAGCTGACAGACTCAACGCTTGAGTTTTTTGAAAGTACTTTATAAATTTTTTTAAGCTTTCTTAATCAATTTAATTTTTTTATCTTAAGGATCAATTTTCGGTTCAAACATTTTCATGATATCATAGTACATCACGGTGTACGTAATTTTCTATTGACGCAAAAAGCTTTGAAAAATTTTTATTACTGCCTTAATTTCTTTCAATAAAGCACAGTAACGTCAATTAAGTGTACATAAAATACTATTTGCATAATAATTAGAGAAATTTGGAAATATCTGAGTAATTGTTGGATACCTTAGTATTCATGAGTTACTACTCTTGCCTTTGTCATTAAACAGAATTTTTGGTTCTACGGGCTCAGTCCCGGATAAAGGAGAATTTTGTAAAAAAGAAACTCCTAAAATGCCTGATTTCGAGTGCTGCGTGCACTCCAGGGTTCCTTTGCAATTTACTTTCATCTCTTTATTACGCGAAATACACTACTCCGACATTTAACATAACCAAATGTTATTTCCTTTTTAATCTAGGCTATTGTAAGGGTAAGCTGGAAGAAAGTGGGAGAAAGGTTGGGGGAGAGGGGGGGGAGGGGGGAGGGGCGAAATCGGACGTGGGAAGCACGTGGACGATAATGGTGAACCAGAGCCAATTTCTGGTCGAATGAACGACATATTTGGAAGGATCAGAGCGCAGGTTAAGAGTAAGGAATTTCATAAAAGTAGAAAACCCATTTCAAGGTTGACTAGAGTCTCATTACCAAACGAGGCTAAGTGTGAGAACGAGTCATTTGCATGCGGATCGAATCACATGTTCAAGGGAAAGGTCTAGGATTGTTTTTGGCATCGAGGATGATACGTCTCACAGAAAACACGAAAAATTGTAAAAGATATCTTTCGCTCACAACACAAATATAATGCTTGGCGATATTAACATCCCCGGCCGAAACCACATGACACTCTAACATCGCCAACTGTCAAGCAAATTTAACGATCTAAACAAACAAACGGAAGAACAAACAAGTAAATAAGTCACAAAAACAGTTTCAAAGTTCTGTTTATTCAGTTATCAATATATTATTCCACAGTAGTCACAGAAATACCAGAAACAAATCAGAAGGTGTAAAGAGTTTAGGAACAAAAAATCCCTCGTGCCCAGGCCACCACTTATACTAAATCCATGAGACACCATCCCGAGGTGGGTAAGATTGGACTCGATGAAAGACATAAAATCACAAGGAGAAGGGGGATTGGTCAGACAGAAAGAAAATGTTCACATCTCCTAAATAATATGTGTGGGTTTATGGATCTGTCCTCAATGCAGGTCTTCTGTTCCATTTAAGTTTCATTCATATTCGCTAAACAGTCAGAAAAAGAGATTAATAACCTTAGCCACCAAGAACTTAAAATTTCCCCAATTGTTATTACTTTACCACTATTCCCTTAGAGATCCCTCAGTTTCGTTATCATATATCAGATTTCTTTGCAAAAACAGGTCATTTTCTTTACCTGGAAAAAGAAAAACATTTTAAGAATTCAACCAATTAATCTGTTTTGGCATAAGAACTTCTGCCAAGAAATAAAAGCGACGCAGCATGGATTGACGCACAAAAGATCCGTGGCGGTGTCGCCTTAGACCAGAATCCTCATTGAAAAATCATATGGCCACATTATTGGGGAACGGGACCGGAAAAAAAAACAGGCAGTTTCTGCGTTTTTATTTTTTTCTGTACCATTCCCCAATTATTTTCACTGTCTGGTTCCAAGCTAAGAGAGGTTGAGATTTGAAATTATTGTAAATTAGCGACATCTTATTTTATTAAAAAAAATTTCATCATATGAAATCTTGGAAATTGCTAACGGGCATAATTTTTATGTACAACACACACATCTTTGAAAAAAAATTCCGTTTTCATCTTAAATCTATATCTCCATTTTCGCAGAAACTGTCGAAATTAAGAGATCCCTCCACATCGAACAAATAATTCCTTTTAGCGCGAAGTTCGTCGTTACGGAACAACGGTTTATCAGATTCGCTTGGTTTGTTCAACACATCGGCTTTACCGCTGCTGGTGTCTCCTTTCACAGTAGAGGGTTCCCCATTGGGGGCAGAAGAGCCAACTAAAACAACAAAATCAAAAAAAAAAATTCACATATTACAGCGTTAAACGACGCACTTATTGGCACGACCATCTATATCAAAGCGATCCACTGTACCATTCGCCTTACCTTGTCTCGAACTTTCTGAGTGTTGACGACCAGAAATATCACGTTTTCCCGCACTTGAAATCAAGTTATTAACAGTACCATCCGCTAGTTTAGATGCGACTCCTTTATTTACAGTTCCGGTATCCATACTGTTATTCTTGACCAGCTTTCGTTTCTCCACATTCGATGGTCTGTGGCCCTTCAGGGAGAGTGTCCTTGGAGATTTAGTCTTAGTATTTTTAGTGTCTTCGAGTTTAGTGGGTTTTTTGGAACGCTGTTGTTCGAGAAACTTTAAATGACTCGTTCCTTGCGCGGGTATGTGCAACAGTGAGCTGTCTGTTAAGGAAGCAGTAGCAACCTTCCCGCGATCATCCGACACAGGCTTTTCCAGCGAGTCAACCGAATCATGTTGAGTTGGTGGATTCGGGTCATCTCCTTTCGTAACAGTAGTTTCTGCATTCGGAACAAGATTAACTTGCGCTGCACTCAGAGCTTCCGGCATAACAGACTTCGCCTCGGATCTGGAGGCACTCATTGTCCTAAGAAGAACATCCTCAAGTTTGGGATTCGAAGGAGAAGATTCTCCCGATTCACCGGATCCTGATGTAGATGAGCGTTTATGGCTGTGTTTCAATGGAGACTTCCGTATAATTGTGAGAGGTGCAGATTTTTCACTGGGAGAAAAATATTAACCATTAGCCACAAAAAAATTACTTCTTACTGAAGAATGTATCCTGAAACAATCAAGCAAAAAAAACCAAACAAAACAAAAGATAGTTTAGTTGTTGATACGAAGTGCGATTGAAGCTGAGGTGAAAAACGACCTAAAATCATCCTCGTTTTTCCATTTTCCGCTACTGTCCCGCCGTTTAATGTTTGGCTCCGTTTTACTAACTGAATTCCTAGTGCAGGCCAACAAAACTGAAACAATTAAACAACAAAATCAAACTGAAAAAAAGACGCTTGTAGCTTTGCTACATGTTGTCAGCTTTTCCTATGGAAAGAAACCTTTAATTTTTACCATATATGCAAAAACCAAAGTATCCCTGTAGGAAAGCTACACACAGCATGTGTTTAATAACGTAACATTACTTTTAAAACTAGAATGCACTCATTCCAGTGTGGACGCATTGCATACCTATGCTATTTACCTATGCTATTTACCTATGCTATTTACCTATGCTATTTACCTATGCTATTTACCTATGCTATTTTTTGGCTAACCTTGTTTGGAACTTTGTTTCCAGCAAGTCTTTAAGATTAGGTAGAGTATTGCGCAGGTTCGGTGTCCCCAAGCCATTGAACTGACGAAGCTAAACGGTTGCAAAGGAAGAATATGTTAAAATCAAAGCATAGTTGTTATTTGTTGTCACGGTTCTACACGATCTCTATAGAACCACAGTACACTTTGAGCGACTGTCGTAAAACGAAACCCAGCGAAATCCGCTGACCAATCAGAACATGGTAAATTTGAACAATTTTCAATAGTGTCGAAAGTAATTTGTGATGGCTTTGGTTTTACCGTGATTGGTTCAGAATACTTGCGCCATTCTCTCAACCAATCAAATTCAAAACTGAAAACATTAGCGACTTGGTCATTCGCACTTTCCCGCGCCTCAAGAAGTTTGCTGTTTTCACTTTGATTCCTCATTGGCTGATGACAATGCAAGGCTTTATTGTGATTGGTCGCTGGGATTTTATCGGTTTTGGCTTCTCCACACTCAATTGTAAACTGCAATTTCACGAGGAACCGATGAGAGCTTGGGTTAGTTGTTTTAGGGTGTAAGTTGTAAAAACTACCTCAAGGGCAGGAAAACAAGAGCGACCAAGTCACCATTGGGGTTGGTTTTGCATATGATTGGTTAAGAATGACGCTTGAGGTTTTCTGGACCAATCACTGACCGCTCTAAATCAAAACCAATGATATCCCAGATAGCTTTCTTTCCACATTCAACAGAAATTGCTGTAACGAATGCGAGTTACTAAGAAACTTTACCTGGGCTATATTCTTGTTTAAAAGAAAAGTACCATAGTAGAACTGAATTTTTTCTTTCCCCTTATTATACAACGGAAACCTGAAAAACAAAGAAGGAGAACAAGTCATCCATCGAGCCACTCTACAAGAGCATTCTGAGTCACACCCAGGCAATCTTGGACAATCGACACCGAACACGTCGAGAAACAACCACAGCATTTCAAACTTTCAAACGGGCTACTCTCGCTACGAGGCGAGAGAAAAGTGGTTTTGCCTTGCTCATTGACTTGTTGCAAGAAATTGACAGCTTCCATAATTAGCAAGGAAAGTAGTTTAATATTTATCGATGGGAATGCCTCGACCGCCCATAAAACTTGCAAAAGATTGCCCTCAAAAAAACACCAAATTCATTTTTTCATCGCAAGCTAACAAAACCGCCTGCCACACAGACTACTTTGTACTCACTGCCTCTCCTTCTCTGCAACTTTTTCAATCGCGAAATCCATAATGGTGGATCTAGAGCCGCGAGAGTTCATGGGATATCTCAAAGGTAGATCCAAGAATTGAGCTATCATACACACCAAGTGACACGTGTAACCAAGGGCAACCGACAGGGTCTCGTCATCCATGGCTGCAATTAGGTAGATATCGTTTAATTTTTTGATCCCTAAGAATGGCTGACATCGAAATTCTCCTTACAATGCTACCCCTGAATCACACATAAAGGTCACGAGAATAAAGGAATTGATCATCAATTAAACAGCTCTTGATTGTTGAACAAATTCTCCTAGTAGGCTCCTTAGGAAAATGTACGGAGAACAATATGGAGAATATGCATACTGATGTTAGCGTGTAGACGGTTAAGATCCGTCGAACCCGCTCGCGGCAGTTAATGGTGACGAGTGACTTTTTACAATCGTTTGTCGCAAAAATGAATGTTTAATCTGGATGATGGGAACTTGAAAGCGAGGGGTTTCATTTTCTCACCTTGGAATTCGTCTGATTCACAATTAGGAAGCCGCACGCCAGAAATTAGGAATTCTTTTGATTTCTTCAACTGCAGAAAGACCAAAACTACATCAATTGTCAGCAGTAAAACTTAAGATTTTTCTATCTGGCAGCGTATTTATTGAATGAGCAGATTACTTATGTAATTCTAATTGCACTCAATGGTTATTCCTCACCTCAACAATGGGGTAGATTGTTATCAGCTCAGAGATGAGTTGTCGTCGTCTCATATTCATCTGAGCAGTCACCTTAACGAAAGCTTCCCTGCAATACCAAAAGAGGTCGGTATTAAACATGACCGCTGAAGTGACTCTTCCATGACGATTTATCGAAACCAGTGCTGAGGCGGATCTCAATCACCCCACAATATCCGCGTGGCACTCAGACCGACAGCAGTTAGCAAGTATAATCAAAGGGTTACTGGGGAAAGGCTCCGTAGAGTGTTAGAATTTTGACAAAACGCGCGTGAAATAATTCCCTAATTTGACGATACCATTTGACCGCTGTACCTTTTAATATCATTTTAATATCCTTTAATCACAAAATACGCTCAAAATTATGGGGTTTTTACTGAGTAATTCTACAGAAAACTCCAAGCAGGGTAAGCTGCCATGGTTTATAAAAACATCGTCAACAGTTCTTTTAAGGACTTACTCATTAGAACGACCTCAACACATGATCGCAAATCAATGACCTTGAGAGTTGTTTATCTTTAGACCTTATGTCTGCATGAAGTGACGGAAGAAGATACCGTTAACATATTTACCTTTTTTCTACGTGTGCTTGCTTATGTTCTCTCAAACAAACTTTATTAGAGTCCAGTTTCTCTCTGTTCCTCTTAAGGTTCATTTCTGTAGAACGACAAATTCACGGGGGCGTAATATTCATGGGGCGTAATACAAAGAACATAACTTACACGAGTGCAATGAAACATTATGATGGGGGGGGGGGGGGGGG